ACCTGGAGTTGGCTGAGAAACGACTCTCCGTACCCTCCTCGCTGCCCTAGCCTTATAAACCCGCACAGACCGGTCAAGGTCAACCAGAAGGTTCCAAAGGCGTCAGTCTGCGAAACGGCGGCAGCTCCACGGCAGCACGCACAAAGAGCTCAGCCTGACTAGCTCCACGATGGTAAACCGCAAGCCTTGGCTCGAGACTCCACACGGAAGCTCATTGAGCGCGAGGGACAACAACAATAATGACAATGGCAATGATGCTAGTAACAACAATATTAGAAATACTAGTAACACGAACAACTACCATAATCGATACAATATCAATAACAATAACAATTGCGATACCAATAATGACAATACTATGCATGTATGTTCGCGTGTGCTTTTGCTGATGCAGCAGAGCCGAGCCGCGTCACGTTCTTCGGCGCCAAGACCTCGCCAATACAAACTGACAGACTACACCTTACCGTCAGACCTACTCCCTTCCAGCCATCCGGTCCAGTGGCATCAAAGTTTCACCCTGGCTTTCGTCTTGCAGGGTCTACGTGCAACCAAGAGAGAGAGAGAGAGAGAGGGGAGAGAGAGTCTGCGAGCGAGATAGAGACGGAGAGACACAGAGAGAGACAGAGAGAGAGGGAGGGAGAGAGATAGAGACCTCTGCCGTAAGCCGCCGGCCTTTTGTCCTGGCAAGGCCTTGTTTGGGCAGTGAACAAAGTCAATAAAGAAGCACGTACTCCGCCAGTGTAGGCCCTAAAAGAGCACCTGGCAGACCTAGAAGCCCAAGCACAGTGGCAGGAAGAATCGCTCCAAATTGTGCGAGCTTTTTGGGGTGGTGGGGGGGAAGGAACACAGGTAGCGGTAGCGTCCCAAACACTGCACGGCACTGGGCAGAAACACAATTTCAACAGGACTGTGTCGATGCACGGCACTGTTCGCGAATTTTGCCCAATTCCAAAGGTCCAAAACCCTCAAATTTTGCAACGACTACGACTGCGTCACAGATGGCGGACGCGGCGATGACACACACGCAACACGCAGAGGCAAGAAATGGAGAAGAGAAAACAGTACCTATAAACACATACCTACATCTACTCCTACATCTAGTTACATGTGGTACACCCAAACCACCAGGACCTAAACTTCTCCCAGCTCCCAACATCGTGAAGACCAAATAAGACACGCATCGCTACGTCTGCGGAAATACTGGGAATCTTCGACGTCGGGGAGACCTGCACAGCCCATGCTTCGACAACAAGCACATGTCGCACGTTCTACGACTCCCACTTCTTGTGCACCCGGATTGTTGATAAACTCTAAACCCTAAACTCTGAACCCTAAACCCCTAAACCCCTAAACCCGAAACCCTAAACCCTAAACCCCTAAACCCCTAAACCCCAAAACCCTAAAGCCTAAACCCTAAACCCCCTTGTTCCAAAACGGCTGAGTCTTCACTGAGCGAGGCCCTGGCGATCTTCACCTTCCGAACGCGCCCAGGCGCCGGCGGGCAGTGGGACAAGTCAACCTCAGTCGACGCAGGACGGAAGCTCAGGGTGATATGTTGTTTCAAGGTCCCTCCCCTGGCGGTTCTTCCTGGAACAAGAACAAATCGAATTATTTTGCGTGAATCACGACTTGTCAATCCCTGATGTAGCTCCATTTCCAGAATTCTTTATCATCTTCTGAAGGCTACCCTATCAACACGGGAGGAAGGCGTTAAGCTGTTGACAAGCACCCCTGTGACCCATTTTCCGCTTCGCTGTGCCCAGATATTAGATCGGATAGATCGGATAGACGCAGGCGAAGTCGCAGCATTGCACGCAAAGAAGCTTCTCACAAACTTGAGGTCTGACAAACTTGAGACCAGGCTGCGAGAAGCACGCGAGAAGCTGCAAGCTGTCACACTGCCCGAGGCCTCAGTGAACCTCAACCACTATAGTAGAGCCCCAAACAGAACTCCAAAACCCCAAATACTCCAAGCCCCTAAACCCTAAACCCTAAACCCAAGCAGTGAGTGGAGAGAGTTTTGAGGCTCGCGCCACGGTGAGGGGCCCCCAACCATCCTGACGGGGGAGCCCTCGAAGCTCGGGAAGCCGTCGCAAAGTCCAGGCCGGAGCCTTTAGTATAGTATAAGTATAAGTGTAATGAGTGATAAGTTATAAGTAATAGTATAAGTATAGTATAGTAACAGTAATAGTATGGTATATTATTATAGCATAGCATAGTATAGTATCGTATAGTATGCCATGGTATAGTCTAGTATGGTATGGTGTCGTATAATTTGGTGTAGTACCGTAGGAAATTTTTGAAAAGATTGGACCAATGTCTTCTACTTTGTTATTTTTCATGACACTACAGTACGGCATAGATCCATCCGAAGCTTTCTGGGCTTTTGGGGAGGGGCCCTGTACCCCATATCTTCAACTCAGCTGCAGTCACGAAGACCCAGCTGGACACGGCGATCCCGAGAGGGACATTGCAGCACATGCGCACCTCATCTACTGTTCGGGGCTGCGACCAACTTGGATGCAAATTCGGAGCATCGCATGCAACTGATCCTGCTCCGCTTTTGAACCAAAGCTTGATAGATCCGGTACACCGGAGACGTCAACGGAAGCTGCCCAAAATGTCCATCCCTGCATGAGCAGAGCAGGCCCACGCTTTTCAAGCATTTCGGCAGGCGTGTGCTCGTGAGCGCAAGACTGACAACCTGCGCGCAACAAGCTGCAAAGGCAAGGGGCATCTGCTCTCTGACAGCTGAGGCATGCTCTGCCGTCGTATGTCAGCGACTCCAGCAGTGTCGCCAGAGCCTCGAAAACCGCAATGCCTTGTAGGATTTTCTAAAAAGGCCTGCTAGCCCTAACGCACTGCGGAGCCTTGCAGCTCTGGCACGTTCTGGCCCAAGCTGAAAACCTCGGCTCGCCAGAGTTGAAACCATGGCACCGCACCCGCAAAACGCATGCGAACAGCGATGACGTCTGAAGACTTTTGGGGTGATGGCCTCCGACTCCGGTCTGTGGCTCTCCTGGACAGGAACGGTTCTCGCGCTCGCAACGACTGTGGACTGTCCGTACACAAAATCGCGGTCCATCAGGAGGCGACTTGTCGCCGGTTCGTTGGCATTTTCATCAGCTGCACAGCCTCTTCGTTCCCACAATGACGCAAGTGCCAGGGCCATCCACAGAGTGGCTCCGTAAACATAATGGGCATCAGCTGAAGTCTCCACTGAGAATGTTTTAAAAAATCCTGGGAGAGAGGCGAGCGTCTTGTTTGGTTGCTGCGCGCGCCTGGCACAACCACCGCATTTGACATCGCGTAGACGGAGCCAGTGCGGGGACGAAGAAAGCGACATGTTCAACAGGCACTTACGGAGCTGCTGAGAACTAGGCCAAGCCTTTGCGCAGCGTTGCGAGATAAGGTCGTGCATTTGGTGGTTTTTCTGTGCCACCTGCTCGAATCAGCCGCATCCACAGGCTGGGCTGGGGGGACAGGTGGCACGCCTCATTCAGGCAGGCTTGGAGGGTATCTCCGCCTGCAATTCCGGCAGCTCGAGACCTGATCATCTGTGAGCAAGCCCTACGGGCCCATGTGGGAGTTTCCGAAAATAAGGGGTACCTGTTTGGGGTCCTTATAATAAGGGTCCTATTATTAAGGGTACTATCTTATAGGGTCCCCTATTCTCGGAAACCCCCATGTTCATCTGAAAACCCACCAGATCCGGGAGCCGAGCACAGCTTCCTGTGCCTGCGCTTGGATCAAGGAGGGCTCTTCCCCCCCACATCGCAGCCCGCCTCGAGCTTCTTGCTAGGTGCCATTTGGCGATGCAGCGCCTTGACCTCGTGAGGCTGGGACAAGGGTCACAAAGACGAGAGCATCTGAAGTGGAATTCCGCATGGGACGTGTTGAGGAAAGGGCCTCCTCATCATACCCGGTGCTATTGCCGTGCGAACCCTGATGTCCAACAACCCTGTGGACAAAACTACAACTACAAGCAATATGGCTAGGATCATCAGTATCATGATGGCCTTTGTACAACTTTCTGTATACTCTTCGTCATGTGAATTTGTCGCGGGCATGGCGAATGATGTTACAGTAATCTCTTTTGCAGAGACCCGATTTGCTCAGCCGCTCGGTCCCGCGCACGGCGACGCCACCTCGCCACCTCGCCCTCAGCGCTAAGCCGCGAAAGGGAGGCCTTCCACGAATACGACGACAGAGTGGCAAAAGTGGCAGCAGAAGCAGCAGGATCAGCAGGTGAAAAAGTGCAGCGACAGCAGGGGTAGAAGTGGTAGTAGCCGCCGCAACAGCAGCAGCAGCAGCCGCAGCAACAGTAGCAGCAGTCGTAGTGTTAGTGTTAATCGGAGTCGTAGCTGTAGTCGTCCTCGTAGTAGCAGTAGCAGTAGCAGTAGCAGTAGCAGTAGCAGTAGCAGTAGCAGTAGCAGTAGCAGTAGCAGTAGCAGTACCAGTACCAGTAGCAGTAGCAGTAGCAGTAGCAGTAGCAGTAGCAGTAGCAGCAGCAGTAGCAGCAGCAGCAGCGCTGGCAGCTGCAGCGGCAGGAGTAGTAGAGCAGTGTTAGATTGCTGCTGCT